GCAAGAAATGGTATTGAAGATATGAGAGCAAGTCTATGTGCTGTCACACTGGAGGGATTTTCTTACTAGTAACTGTTCAAGAGGCTTTCCTGCCCAGAGCCTGGATTATTATTTTGTAAGCAGGATCCTTGACCACATGTAGATGTGATACCTAAATTTACAGCAAGAGATTTCAGAGAAACCTAGTCATGTAAGAAGCAGGCTGGTATGGCTGGTAGGCTAATTCTTTCAGTAGTAGAGAAAGATAAACATTATTAAAAGGTGATGTTTGTAATTATATCCAAAACAGGGCTGAACATAAGGGGTGGCATTCAGCTAACTGACAGAGTAAACTGCTCCATAGAAGCTAGTCATTAGAGTCTTTCCTTACAGTTATAGAGAAGAAATTGTCTCTGTAGGTGCCTCTGACCAGCTTGAGCCATCTACTTTAAAACAACATGAGTTGTACACTAGAAGCACACTTTCCTCTCTATTAACTGTAAGCCTAATTGAGACTTAAAATTTTGTCACACAGCGCAAAAATTTGCCACAATGATCATAGAATCATAGAATCATAGAATCATAGAATCATAGACTCATAGAATCATAGAATCGTTAAGATTGGAAAAGACCCTTAAGATCATCGAGTCCAACCGTTAACCCAGCACTGCCAAGTCCACCACTAAACCATGTCCCTAAGCACCACATCTACCCTTCTTTTAAATACCTCCAGGGATGGGAAGTCAACCACTTCACTGGGCAGCCTGGGCCAGTGCCTGACTACCCTTTTGCTGAAGAAGTTTTTCCTAAGATCCAAGCTAAACCTCCCCTGGGACAGCTTGAGGCTGTTTCCTCTCTTCCTATTGCTTGTTACTAGGGAGAAGAGACTGACCCCCACCTTGCTACAACCTCCTTTCAGGTAGTTGTAGAGAGCAATAAGGTCTCCCCTCAGCCTCCTCTTCTCCAGACTAAACACCCCCAGCTCCCTCAGCCGCTCCTCATAAGACTTGTGCTCTAGACCCTTCACCAACTTCGTTGCCCTCCTCTGGACATGCTCCAGCACCTCGATGTCCTTCTTGTAGTGAGGGGCCCAAAAGTGAACACAGTACTCGAGGTGCCGCCTCACCAGTGCCGAGTACAGGGGCACTATCACCTCCCCTGGTCCTCCGGCCACACTATTCCTGATACAAGCCAGGATGCCGTTGGCCTTCTTGGCCACCTGAGCACACTGCTGGCTCATGTTCAGGTGCCTGTCAACCAACACCCCCAGGTCTGTCAGATGCCAATATGGTTTGGCCTACTGATGATGTATCTAGTCCTCACGACAGCTTCAAAGGGACTGCTATGTTTTGGAGTAGATTATAGGCGAATTACTATGTGATCTGCTCCTAAAATTTTGAAGCAAGAGATGGTGAACAGGATACATGATGAGCACCTATATATGGAAAAAATATGAAAGTTCTCAGCTAGATCTGCATTATATTGGCTTCAAACGAAAGCAGATATAGAAGAAAAACTCAAAGAATGTGAAATATTAAAAGAAATCAAAATTTATCAAATAAAACAGTCTGTGATGTTCATTCAAGAAACTTTAGATTCATGGTCTAGCATAGTCATAAATTGCTTCTTTCCTGGAAAAAATAGGTATTGTTTTTGGAATACTGTCTTTAATGCACCAAAATAGTACGATTAGAAAATATGAGTGTTAAACATGTGATTTCCGATAACAAGAACATGTATTTACTAGAATAGCATGTTAGTTGTGACAATGACAAAAGAACACTGCCATTTGGCTGTCTGGAACTTATACATATGACAAACTAATCAGGATTTTAGGCATAATACTGCAAATAGGTACAATGTAACAGGCTGTGAAAAATGATGTAAAATTATAGCAAGGATGATTCTAAAAACTGAAGAACCAAATTCAGATCCTCAGTTGATGTATCTGACTTACAGTCTTGAAGTCTGGACTGCCACCTGCTGAAAAAATGTTAAATAGGAAACTTAGGCTTAATAGGACTCAATTTTTATTACTAAACCTTGACTTTTACCCTATTTCTTTCTTCTAACCCTTGGTGCTCTATGCCCCATGGATAGTATCGTTATAACTGTGAATAAATTTGAGACTTCCTTCCTCTCTGCTCCTTGATTCCCCAGGTCAGTATTAGTCTCCCCTCTGCTCATCCCCCATGATTTCAGCAGTTTCTTTTCCTGCGATTTGCCTGTTATGATTTTACAGTCAGGCTTAACCACTGGACCTCTAAAAGATTAAATTAGACAATATAGACTCAGCTGTTGTCCTATTGCCATAGGACAATAGAGACTCAGCAACTGTCAAGCAACTTAAAAGTCTTTATGGTTGCAAGGCCACAATATGGGCATAGAGGGTATGTATGCCCGCAATATGGGAATAAGCAGGAAGGTGAAGATGTAACTTGTTATCATCTTTGCTGAGCAAGGGGGATTGATGAAAAAAACATGACAGCTGTGTAGCATCTTCGATAAAAAGAGGACACAAGAAGACTTACAGGCTTCATAAACACCAACATCCGAAACGGAAGAGGCTGCAGGGAAATCAGTGGGTTGCATAGCATCAATGGAGATTAAAATTCATTAAGTGCTCTGAACGTGGTTGTCATTTCAGATGCTAAGGGAGGATTTCTGCGATGTGATTTGATTAACTTGCAGTGAGAGTTTATCCTTCGGAAACAGTGCGGTAGCAGGATAGCTGACCCTTCCAAGATGGATTGCAGTTATGTGTCCCAACATGGGCTTTTCATCCCTGCACACCCCAGAGTACTGCAAGAAGGAGCAGGAGCCTGGCGCTGGGGGCTGTGTGGTTTTTGGGACTGTGGTTTCTGCTCAGCAGTGGCACCTCCGAGGCACTCTTCTGGCCTGCATTCATGCAATTCCTGCAGCTGGGGGTTCAGACCACATTCCCTGCTCAGATTCACCCTCAAAATTATTCATTGTGACTTGTGATCTCCAGTCTCACCCGCTCACCCTTTTTTTTACTTTTTTTTTTGTCTTGCACGTTCTGTTGTTCTCATGGGTGGGCTGTCACTTTGAGCAGTGGGGCTTGCAGCACGGGCTGTGGCGCACAGAGCGATCGAGCTAGCAGAACCCCTTGTCCGTTAATGCCAACATTTGGGTTTTTTTAGTGATCAAGGAAAAGTTTTTCACCGCTGTGAGACTCCTTTTCTTCCGTATCAAATACATGGCTGCGATCACCTGAATATCACCTGCACTGAATTTGTTTCATGGGGAAGGAAAACAGGAGCGAGATCCGTATCCCTTTGCTCTATGGAGCACCGGTACCCTCTAGTGGTAAAACCGCAGGCAGTTTTAGGCAAAAGATGACAATTTCACTCTCTTCTCTCTTTCTCTTGGACAAAAATCTGCACATCATTTTTAATTGACAGTGCTGTTCTGTTGAATGATATCATAATTTCATGCCTTTAGTTTAAGTAGCTGATGATGTAATTTCCTTGGACTGTTTTCAGTGTGTTTCGCCTTTCATTAAATCATTTAAATGATACATGTGAGGTGATGGGTGACTGAATTTTCACATGGTATAAAGAAATGCCTGTAATGGAAAGCATCAAGTAGCAGTAGCTCCAGGCTTTAAGTGGAGAATTAGTGATGGTACCACTGTAATGGCTGTAACGTGACAGATCACAGATGGTTTATAGCTAATCGAAGGAATCATGTTGTCTTGGTTGCGTTCGCACCAGTTTGCTCATAGACGTGCAGGGCAGCTGGATCGTGGGTCCTGGGAAGCCAGTGAGCCACTGGCTTCATAATTGCAAGGTGGGGACAGCACGGTATGGTGTGACAAAGCAAGCTCGAGGGCATGGTAGGAACATTGCAGAATTGCTAAGTTAACTGCCAAATGTCTTGAGCAGCAGGAACATGGTTATAACAGGTGGATGGTAAAAGCCACATTCTGGACCCAAAGGCTGTTTCCTACCAGCAGCATAACCCTTGCTCTAAAGTATGGCTGGTGAGTGGGAGAAGGTGAAACTTGTCAAAGAAATCCAGAATTATTTAGCAGGAGCAAATGCATTTATTTCTGTTCTAACCTTGCTCGAAATGGCTGATCTGAAATTTTCCTGGCATAGGAAACTTCTGAATTGCTAATGTTAGGAAAGCCACAGCAAAGTAATCCTTCAGGGTTTGCTGTGAAGTGTTTCACTGTTGCCTGTTCCTTGCATGGAGGTTGCTAGTTGATGCTGTTTGGAGGAAATTCCTTCCTGAAAGGCAGCAGGAGCTATCTGGAGCTCACCTCTTTTTTTACTCCAACTGCAAAAATGTTGCAAATTCTCAGAACATGCTCCCTTAGCCCTAGGTTGCCCTGTACATGAAGGAAACAAAATCCCAAGACAGGTTAGAGGGCAAGTGTCTCTGACCTGAGCCTCCCTTCCCCAGGGTCCTTGCTCGCTGCCTCCACACTGCAGGCTGTGGCCTCTGCTCATTTCAGCCAGTGAAACAAGGTGGAGCTTTATTCACCAAGAAATGAAATCACACTTTAGGTATCAGATTGAAATTCAAAACAGGTAGTATACACTAAACACAGTTTGGTTCTTAACAAGCTTTTTTTCCTGGATGATTTCAGTACCTAATGCCTATCATTTCTTTGATGTACCCTAGCTATGAAAGCAAGGCATCCAGAGCTTTTATGGAGATGTACTTCCAATTCATTCACTAAGCTCTGAAATATTTCCATGGCCACCTGCCCCTTTGATCCCATGGATCAGGTTTTGGGAGCACATTAAAATGCTCATGATCTGGGTACATGAAGTACTAGAATATGAGCTTCCCCCACTCTGCTTCACAGTAATCACTTACGAGACTCCCTTGATTTTTCTGACCTCTTTATGTATAAAAGATTTTTAATAGCTTGAACCTGGGAATGGTTTTACAAAGCAGATCAGCGTGACTTTAGATTGGACTGAATTGGATTTACCAGCAGTGGGAGTTAATTTTCTGTCAAATCTCTGTATTCTGGAGCCTCACAGACAGACAATAGCACAGGGGCAGTGATTTATCACGCACTGCGTTTATTGGAGAGCAGAACTTTACCCTCTCAATTGTTTCTCTTTCAAACATTTTTATCTTTTCATCTGAATAGAAATGAGTGCAAAAAGGGAAAGAAAAAATAAATGCAGTGCAGTTTTCAAGGGAGGGTTTGTCCTGGTGCTGCATTGTATTGAAGTGTTTACTGTTTCTCAAGTCTCAGGATGTGCCAAGTAGATTTATTCCACTGTAACTACAGTGCCATTTTGTGAAACGCACAGCACATCAGCTTGGAATAGGCTTCCTGAGCATTACAGTCCTCTGCCGTACCATACAATCCCTTCCCCAAAGGAATATCATCCATTTCCTTCCTGAAGAATGCAAACGAGTTAATTAATGCATGTCTGTCCCAGGACCATTCTGATTTAAGATCTTGCCATGATTTCTTGACTGCCAGGCCCTCTGTGTCCAGATTGAGAACCTTCGATCTTCATGAGAGCCCACCTCACTGCTCACCGATGGGAAGCAGCCATCCCCTGAAAGTCTCCACCCAGGTTTTTATAGGCAACATCTCCAATGCAACTACAGAGAGGGGCAATGCTGTGTTTTTTCCTTTTATTTCATTCCAGGTTTCTGATTGTCTTGGGGTGTTTGATCCTAGCTGTCCTGACAACTTTCAAGGAGTATGAAACTGTTTCAGGAGACTGGCTCCTCTTGCTGGTAAGTAGACTGGCTGCTGCATCACCCTGGTAATGTCCTTGAATTGAAATCAGCCCCATCAGCAGTGATGGAAACTTACTCCCAGCTCTGCATGCAATGAGATTTCCTCTGTTGGTCCTGGAGCAGTGACTGTACACTTAAATATTGAAGAGTTCCTGGTTCATTGTCAACACCAACTGAGTAAAAGGGAATTAAGGAGAGAGGAAAAATACTAGCCTGACACTTTTAAATAATGACTTTTCAGCATTTGCCTAACAGTTCTCCCATCAAAGTATCAATAAATTTCCTGTTGACCATGCCAGATCTGAGCACATTTGCAAACTTATTTTTGGGGGATTTTTCAACAATTCTGATTCATTCCACAGTATTCTGCCAATCCCATCATTTCTTTCGAGGGAGGTCATCAGAATTGGACTCATGCTTGTGCCCAATAGTAGCATAACTGAAATTGTTGCAAGCAGTGCTTGTGATGACTAGCCATGAGAGAAAATGTATTTACAAGAAATATATTCCTTCCTCTGTGTTTCCAGCATGCTTGTTTTATAAATGCTGGAGTTCATGCTCAAGACTGTATTTCTGTAGGCCTCCCGTTTGGCAGAAGAAGGGAAAAAAAAAAAAGGAAAAAAAAAAACTCACTAAGTATAAACAAGATATATTCATCATTTTATGAAAATGACCCTAACAAAGAACTTCCTCTGCTCCCATAGCTGTCATGAAATAGAGAACGCAACCTCTCACTTAACCTGGCCTGGTAGAGAAGCATCACTAGGGAAACTGCACAGCAAGAGTAGTTCTGGGATCTCAGTTTCCATTTCCCTTTGTGCCCCCAGAGACAGGTAGATGCGAGCAAGAACTAAATGCCAAAAGGAATGAAAGGTGAATTCCCCTTGCATGTTCCTTCTCAAAAAGCACCTGTATGAAAACACCCTCATCCCCTAGCGAAAGTGAAACTCGCTTCTGGTCCCAGTTACCCTGCTTAGACCCATCTTTTCACATTTGAAAAAGCCTGAGGTTATTTTTCTTTCTCCTGTGCTTGCTTTTATGTTGTGCTCAGTGGTTTTCAGAAATGCCTAGCAGCTGTGGGTATAAGCATCAGGAAAAATCCCCCTTTCCTCCTTGCCAGCTATCCCCAGAGAGGAAAAGTAACTGTGTGCCCCATACTCCCTTAGCCCATCTCCACTGAGCACCTCAGAGAAGCTCTTTCCTCCCCATTCTCTCCCCATGCTTAGAAGACTTCTTGAGCAAGGTGGAAAATCTCATTCTTCTGTGTGCCAGAAATGTAAGGGGATAATATATGCCTTAGATTTGTCTTATACATGCCTTTGTCATTGCCTTAAATTTATGACCATATGAATATACTGTATCCTGTCCCTGTCTCTATAAATATGGTTGCATGAACGAGCTGCTGGTGGGTAACCCCGGGTGTGGGTATACAGTGCACTGGGGACTTTGCAGTCACCACTCACATATGTTTTCTCATTTCGTGTGAAACAGGCAGTCTTTTTGTCATGTAATTGCCCTTCCATCAAGGCAGGGTAAGCACTTCACTTTTACGCAACAGGAGGGGCACATCATTTCTGCAGAGTACTTAGCAAGCTGTAAAGCTATGATGTCCCACTTTGCCTTGTCTCTTTCATCAACCTATATTCTCCTCCCCACTTTTTTCCTCTCTGTCTCTCTCTCACACACGTACCCCAACACTTGCACCTCATCTGTTTCCTTCAGCTATCTCCATGTGTCCAGAATTGCTGCAAAACTTGTTGCTAGTCTAACAGTGTAGTGTCTTTGATGCAGGAAACTTTTGCCATTTTCATCTTTGGAGCAGAGTTTGCCTTAAGAATCTGGGCTGCTGGGTGTTGCTGTCGCTACAAAGGATGGAGAGGGAGACTCAAATTTGCCAGGAAGCCTTTGTGCATGCTAGGTAAGCACATGCTCTCTACTATTGTTGTCCCCATTATGTCTTTTTCCTTCTAAGCCAGCTTGGGGGATGTCCAAGAACCAGTGAATGGCAGTGCAGAAAACACTGAAAGCAGATCTGCCCTTTGTGCTAGGAGCAGTGTCCTGCTCGGAATAGTTATTTGAAGTAACCCAGCAATAATGATTCATTCGAGAGACTCTTGGGTGGCTGGTCAGTGAGAAAAAAATGGATCCATCTACTCTTCAAACACATTTTTCTTGTCCTGAGTCCCACTACATTTTTCTTAAGCTTGTCCAAAAATATACTCTGTCTGCCTTTAGTTTCAAACCACTTCAGATCCCAAAACTGTGCCATCTTCCCCAGCCCTCTTCATATTCAAATATTGTGTCTTACCTTTGTAATGTTGGTCTGCATTTGCAAACAACTATCTATCTTTGTGATTTCACCCACATTATCTTTCAGGCTTGGAAGGGACTGCCTACAACCAGCATAAAACTACTCATTATTCATGCTTAAATTCCCTCCTAAAACTCCCCATTTTGTCCACAAACCAACTAGTCAACATGTGCTCACTCTGCCCTGAGCACCTGTCATGCACATCCATATTCTTTCACTGTTTCCAGGACTCCCTCATTTATTTTGATGGTCCTCAGGCCAAGCACCAGCTTTTTGTTCTTTATTTGTACCGCACGTGGTGCTCTGGGGAGCTGTGGGGCTGCAGTTATATGAATACATGCTACCCTCTTCCCTCTCCCTCCTTTTGTTCACCTTGTGGGTCTAAACGGTAGACTAAATTGGAACAAATTTTCTTTGCGCATCTGTGCTATCTGCAATTTAGTAGTGCTCCTTTGGGTCCTACTGTTGTATAAATGCTTCTTATACTTCTACTAGCATTGTGAAGGCAGTAGAGCATGGTGCGAACAAGTGGGATTGATACTGTCTCATGCCTTCCCAGTAAAAGCGTCGTCTCAATTCTGAGAATGAATCTTCATTGATATCTGGGTAAAGAACAGAAAAGATCCCACTGGATTTATTAATATCATCTCTTGGTTGTCACTGGCACAAGTTTATTTTGAGAATGATTGAAAGTGAATATATCTGAAATCCATCCGGTGCCACTCTTTTTGGTTGGAAATATAATATGAAGACAATTTAAAGGCTGAGTACCTGGAGAATGTTTGAAGCCTTTTGGTACCACTTTTTTCTTGTATATGTATAGGATCAAAAAGCAGGGGGGAAACAAGGAAAAGAAAGAAAAAGAAATAAAACAAGAAGAAGCAATGTGATTTGTATTTCACACCTCTTCAGTTGATCAGCAAATTGGCCCTGTGAACGCTTACAAAAAATAGTAGTACTGGCTTTCAGGTTTTAATGGGAAAATTCAGCCAAAAGAACAAAATACTAGATGCACTATCAAAAACTGAATTTCTTATCTGCTGACCTGTTCACTATGGTGTTCCTGTGGGACCGATGAATTTAAGGTTGTTTTTCTGTCAGCATTCGGGCACTGTTTCTGTGCATCCCTAAGCCAGCTCAGACAGTGTCTCAAGTCCAGTGCATTGATCTGTAAACAGATTACGAGGCTTTCTGGTGGGTTCTGTGTGTGATGCCGACTGTGTGGCAGGTGCAGATATCTGTTTAATTGGCAAGAGAAGGCATTTTCAGGAAGCTTTAAAATTTGCCTAGGGAAATTTGCAGCACAACCAGATGGGATTAAGAAGCAGGTGATGGGGCCACTTTTGTTGGCAGGCTTTGTTCTTTTCGCCTTGCAGATATCTTTGTGCTGATTGCCTCAGTGCCAGTGGTTGCTGTTGGGAACCAGGGCAATGTGCTGGCCACATCTCTCAGAAGCCTCCGCTTCCTTCAGATCCTACGGATGCTCCGAATGGACAGGCGGGGCGGTACATGGAAACTTTTGGGATCAGCCATTTGTGCACATAGCAAAGTAAGTGAGGATCTTGCAGGGCTTAGCTGGGGCTTGGGGGAGAGACAGAGAAGGGAAAAGATTATGTCTAGTAGTTCAAGCAATAGTTTTGTCCTTTCAGCTTTATTCCCTCTTCCATTCTCTGAAGCATTTCTACCCCTTATTTTACCCTTCTCTACTCAACAGTGGTGCTGGGAAGTGACAAGAGCGTTCATTCCCACACTCATTACAACAGGAATTTTGCCTTTACACTGAATGAGAGCAGGGACATCCCTTTAATGGTGAAGTATGTTGGAATCTTTGACAGAAATGCCTCTGTATTTGCGACGTTTTTGTAGTGGCTTCTCAGACTTGTCTGATCAACAGATGGAGCAGGACTCCGAAAGGATGGAAAGAGTCTGGTTAGCAGAAATGTGGTTTCAGAGGGAACTACTGGTATAATTTCCCTGTGGAAGCATGGGTCAGGAAATACAAAGATGCACACAGTGTGAACCCAGACAGACAAAATTTCTAAAATCATCTTTGCTCAGTCTAACTTGATGCTATAGTCAGACACATCCTGTCTCACACCAGACAGATACGTTGTGTTCTTGTATTTTCTCCAAACATTATTACAAGTTAAAAACTATCTGCATAAAAATCCTCTAGATGAGATTTCTCATCTGCACAGGGTGTAGAAAAATTGCGTATACCCTGTGCTACATACTGCTTTTTCTTATCCATGAATGACATTCCTGACATTTTAGGGGTTGTGGAAAATTAAAATGCCAGCTGGCACAGCATAATTAGCCTTTGCTTCTTTGTAGTGGCTGATAGGGATACCCACCCTGCTTCATTTCATACCAACTTCTCTTTCTTCCCCATATAAACTTGCTACAAGGCAGATGGCACATAAACACTTATGTCAAAAATGTTTCTCAGGAAACTGAGATCATGGAAGAAGTTTATGTGCCAAAGACATTATTTAGAAATTGTTTAAGGCTTCATTTTGTGAGATTTCATTCAAATGTTCCTTGTTTGATTCCCAACCACCACCCTTTGGACTTCAGCTGGCTGCAGGAGATAAGAAGGTGTGGCAAGAACTTTGCTTCACTGAAGACACTAAAATAATTTTGGTAACAAGGTTAGCCAACAAATTTCCTTCTGTGGTTGCACACCAGAAATCAGCCAAGAAAGCTGACTTATCTCAAGACTCAATTATGAAATTCTCAGCTACATCCTTTTTTTTTTTTTTTTTTGCAAATGCAGTTCTCAGAAAACAAAAGGAATATTGATTTTTTACCCACTTGTGAAGACCTTCACCAAAAAAGTTTCTGCTTTGTTTCAGACATTGCTGGGATTTGAACTTGGGTTGCTGCATCTCCCACCTCAGTAGGATTAGCCACACACTCCACTGTAGTCATTCCCTCTAAAACAAGGAAGCTCAGGTTTGTTTTCACACAGACAATTTTCAAGGTCTGTTCTTATTGCATCAATTCATGGTGAAATCATACCTCAGAACCTGCTCTGATGTGCCTAAAGAGAAGAAACTGCAACCTGCAGCCTTCGCTCTGTGGAGGCAGGGAGAGGGCAGAGCTGTTGATTTGCCTGCCAAGACTGACTAAGCCTAGGGGCAGCAGACACGGGAAGAGTCAAGGTCAGGGACAGAGCACTGCAGCACAGTGTGTCATGTGTGCAGCTAAGCCCTTAACCCAGCTTTATGCAGAACTACAACTGCAGATTGCTCCAAGCTGTTCCCAAGGAAGATGCCATGTAAGGGCTAATTCTTGTAAATCTCTGCATTATTTCCCTGTAAGTGCTGAGGTGGGCTGGTCATGGACTGTGACCAAGACAGCAGTGACAGCTCTGCTGTTATCCTCAGTGCTTCTCTCTTCTCCTGATGTTTACTCTGTCACTGTGGGTATTGAGAATGTTTTCAGCCCCTCCATTGTCCATCTGTTTCTTTTGCAGGAACTCATCACTGCCTGGTACATTGGGTTCCTGACACTCATCCTATCATCGTTTCTTGTTTATCTGGTTGAAAAAGATGTTCCTGAAAAGGATGCTAATGGGGTGGAGATGAAGGAAGAGTTTGAAACCTATGCAGATGCACTGTGGTGGGGGCTGGTAAGTGACTCCAAAAATACCTTATCCCCTTCTTAAAAACTTCATTTCCAAGAAGAGATAAAGTATTGATATTAAGGATTACAGTATAAGTTCTGCTAAATTTGAGTGAGGAGCATGTTACTGGTATAACATCACCAAAGTAGGGATGCCCCTCAACCAATTAACAGAACTTATATCCCTGTTGATTTTCAGTCAGACAAAGGCCCTTAGGTGCTTAAACCCCTTTCAGAAATCAGTCTGTACTCTTGGCTTCCAGGAAACTTCTCTTGTAGAGGAGTCTCTCTGTGGGTATAACTGCACTGGCAGAGCCTATGTCTATGGGAGACCTAGCTCTCATGACAACAGTATCTGACCTGTGAGAGCTACATCCCTCAGAAAATGGCAAAACCAGAGCTGACCAAACTGGGAGGTGCTGTTGACTCTCTTGAGGGACAAGAGGCCTTGCAGAGGGATCTAGATGGATTGGAGCATTGGGCAATGATCAGTGGGATGAAATTTAACAAGTCCAAAATATCTCTGTAAAGGATAACTGAACATTTCTTTTGTGTCTTACATGCATTCCCCAAGAATCACTCAGGGAATGCCATTGGTGGTAGGATACTGAGAAAGAGGGACCTGTAATACATCTGTTCTTGTCTCTTCTGATGAAGAGGGGAGAACTGATTTGCACCACTGCTCATTTGATCACAAAATGTTCCTGCCACCTCGTAGGCAGAATTCGTGTTGCTTTGCTAGCAATAGTTAGGGGAGTCTATATCATGCTGTGACTAAAATTCAGCAGCATATTTTTTTTATTTACTGCAGTTCACTCATAAATGGCAAGATCGCTCCCCATCATTAATAATCAAAAGGTCCCAAGTGTTGCATAGAACACCTGGATATTTTCATATATCCAGGACATTTAGGTAGAGTCTCACTGGTGAGAAAAGGTACACGGCTGAAAACTAGCAATTGTGCAGGAAAGGAGTAAGTTTTCACAAAGCCATCTTTGTTTTACAGAGGCTGAGACTTCAGGGAGGGGTAGCCCTGATTGTTTGTTAAAGGTCTGAAAGCCATAAACTGGCAAGTCCCATTCCTAACTGTGCACTGATGGTGGGCAGGAGACTCACTTTGCATGCAATGTCACATGGAGTTCCCTTTCAGCAAATGCATCCTAGAGAGACAGCTGCTTTAAGACTAAATCCATTCTCCCTGGTGCAATGCCTCTGGACTATGATGCTGCTAAAAAAATTGGTTGACCCATCATCAAGATCCTATTTTAAGAAGCTGTGCATAAGCACCCATAGAGCTAAGTGAGTTATGCAGGTTTCTTGGTGACATTTAAAGCAGAGCTGTTGGCTTTGTTTTTCTTATGGGAAGTCCTGGTCATTCTGCCCACAGATCACCCTCGCTACGATTGGTTATGGCGACAAGACCCCCAAAACATGGGAGGGACGGCTGATTGCAGCTACGTTCTCTCTCATTGGAGTGTCTTTCTTTGCTCTTCCTGCAGTAAGTACCTTCCCCCTCCTCTGTTAGGCACAGCCCAGTGCTGTGCACTTACAAAAAGAAGGTAAAGTGATCAAAACTCCCAGTGGAATCAAAATCCCTTTTTAAGAAGTGATTCACTAGTCTATATCAGTAAATCAAACTCCTTTCTTCCCAACTTTGCATAGAGCTTATTGGGAATAATATGTCATCCCGATACTCCTCAAACATTGTGTGGACATTTTCTGAGACAGTGCTCATTGGCACAGGACAAAATTAATCCAGCAAGTGAACAGTCTGGGAAATCACAGGGCAGTTCATGAGCCTGTACCCTGGCCCAGGTTACTTTATTGGTATTGACATAGCTACACAAGATGTATTTCTAAAAGGATATGGGGGCCATTGTTTTAATAATTAGGGTTGGGCCCATCTTATCCAGCTCTAAACACTTGCAAGCTAGAGACCTACATCTGGTTGATCATCACAGACCAGTGGTCATCCTTTATAACCAGTGCAGCTCTGCAGAGCATTTCATCTCACCTGTTTCCTTTCCTTCTTAGAGGAGATCTCTGACACCGCCATGGAAGTGTTGTTTCTACCCACTAAGATTGAAGGGAATTTAGATAGCAGGTGACAGTACAGGTATTTTTGATCTAGCCAGGTGAATCCTACTCTGGCTGCTTGAGAAATGATCTCTAAATTGCTTTTGGAAATATATTTGTTCTCTTGTATTACACAGGCCAAATATTTGCCTTGTCTGCAAAGTCCTCAGGTAAGAATGAGACAAGATCTGGATGAGATGGACAAATAGCAACAGAAATCACCCCAAGTCCAGATTTTAGGATATTTTTCCTTTAGATCAAGACTTGGAAAGAATTTCACAGAGGATGGGAAATCTCACACACCCAAATCCAGCGTATGGTTAGCATAGTTCTTTTATCACACAAGCACAGTTTCACTCTACCCTGAGTGGAAGGTAATACAGTACTTGGACACGTCCAGCTTGGAAAGGCAGTAGACATTCAAGAAGCCTGTTGAGGACCTTAAAATGATTTGGTGTGGCCTGTGGCCCTTGAGAGGGTCACGACAAACTCGTGTCTCATGAACTGAGCTGTGGGAAAGGCATGCTGTACTGCACAAAGGTCCCACGTAGCCATATCCATCTTCACCTACAGACCTGTTTCCTCTCATTATTAATCCATTTTTTATGAGTAAGAAACGTCTAAAATCTTGCATCACTCTGTGCTTTCAGGGCATTTTGGGCTCAGGGCTGGCACTGAAGGTCCAGGAGCAACACCGTCAAAAACATTTTGAGAAAAGAAGAAAGCCAGCAGCTGAACTCATTCAGGTTTGCACCCACTTATCCCATCCTTGAAAAAGTTTTGTATATGAAGGCTGCTGCATCATGTTAACAAGGGCCACTGCTTCCCCCCTGCCCAAATTCTCATTTCCCATTGCAGGAGGTGAGAAGCTGTGTTTGTAAGAGAGTCCGTTTTTTCACATTGAGCTAGATAATCCAGTGGTCCTTGCAGTTTTTGAGGAATCTTTCAATTCCCAGAATATCTTTCAAAAGAACAGTGTCTTTAGAAGAAAGGGTCTCATCTGCTAGCTTCTGGAAACCAACCAACTTCTACATCAGTGCCACAAAAACACAGAAAACAAGCTGTCGAAAACGTATTCTTTCCAAAATTCAGGTTTTGTCGGTTCCCTTGAGAGAGTGCTTTTATGTGCAAACAAAATTATTGTTATTGATGTGAAAACAGCAATAGAAGTAACACAATAGACAGTGACAGTTTCAATCAAGGCAAATGACGTAAATAGTATGTGTGGTTTGTAAAAACTAAAACACACCCTGGATCTCCTGTTACGTCACTGGATGATCAGAGGATTCAAGGGGAAGAGACTCCTTATCTCACTTGGACTTCAGTTACGGTCTTTGTTATGAATTCAGAAAATTAAGTTCAAAATGAGTGGTCTGGGGGCTGACAAATTTGACAGGAGTTACTCTTAGTAGATGTGGAGCACACCCTGATGGAAGTGAAGTAAATGGCAGCATTTCCACAGAGGAACAGAGAAAGTTTCTGTGATATCAGATGGAAGCATTGCTGCTCAGGACTGCTCAGGATCAAACCAGTCCTGAGGAGAAAGAGGCTGAGTGGCTTATTATGCTGTTCTCATTAAAAACACTCCTTAGCAAACAGAAGGGGCTGCTGGCATGAGTGGTGAATTGAATTCACCTTTTAAATCAAAGCATCTCCACTTAGCAGGTAGCTAATTTAGCTACAGCATTTTTTAGGTATGTGCTTAGAGAATTTTGATTGGAGCTAAATGCTGAAATAGAAAATTGCTCAGCAAAATTTGCTCTGATGGTACATTAGATAGTGAACTAGCTTAAGCACTTCCAGAAATATTGGACAAATCCAGCAGTGCTTGAAGCTCTTTTAGACATACCAGACAGGAGAATAAAACCAGTTTAGTCAAATGTAATGTCTTGTTGATGTTGGTGGTTCTCTCTCATGTCCTGTCTCCTTTAACAGCTCTCCCAGATCATAATCCAGTGTCAATAATTTCGCCGTATAGTGACACTCATTTGGTATGGCTGATTAGTAATTAATTTTCAGATAGTCACTCAGGTGCATCGTTATGTTCTTTGAAACAATCTGGCTGCTGTTAGCCTGGGGAATAGCTTTACATAACACTAATTATTTCCTCTCACTTGTAATTCAGGCTGCTTGGAGATATTATGCTACTAACCCCAACAGGATTGATCTAGTTGCTACCTGGAGGTTTTATGAATCAATTGTATCATTTCCATTTTTCAGGTAAGTGCATTGTCCACCTCTCCGTCATCAGTTTCTGTGAAGTATAAGTTTGGACAGGAAACACAGGAACATATCAATGAGGCTTTTGTAGGTAACAGAGAGTTGTCAGATAACTTCCTGGCCGAGACTATAAAATATGCGTTTCGGCTTCTGGATCCATTTCTTCTCCCCTCCCTTGGTGGGATATATTAGGGGCACAGGGATAACTCCATCAGTGGCTTTCATGCTGGCATTAAACAAAGGAGAAGGCTGCCTCACCATCAGCTTCCCTTTGTAAGACTCTGAGTTTATTGCCCTGGAAATCTCAATTTCTCCTTGTACTTCTTGCACCCTCTATGGTGCAGTTGTGTATTTTAAGATATGGGCCATGCTGAAAATTCTTACTTTTCCCTCTTTAACTCAACTGGCCTGAGAATTGTGTTGTTCACAGAGGTGGCCATAGCACGTGAACCTAATTAATACTTCTTAAATGCTTGTCTTTTGGCAATACCAGTTGCTCAAGGGGATAATTCAGTGGAGGACAGCCAAAGCATGTTTAAAACTGTCTCCCACTGAAACTATTAGCTGAAGATTCACAAGGAAACTTTTTTGGGGAGCTGGGGTCATAGGTTTATTTTAATCACCACTTCTGAGTTCAGTGGAAAGCATTCCATACATAAAGACATTCAGACTTAATGGACACTCATATGTTTATGGATATAAGTTTGTCTCATACTCACTTTTCTTGCCTGTCAAACAGGCACCTTCCTCGCCTTGAGTTCCTAGTATTTTAAAATGTTGGCCCTATGAAAGGCAAGACTTTTAGCTATAGACTATCAGCTGCTAATAATGGGCATTACTTATCCAAGTTTATGCTTTAAACTTTCATTCTGGACTTGCTGTTATGCCTCATTCTGACAAAACATGCCCTTAAACTACTGCTCAGCTCAAACAGAGGTCTCCACATGTAAACTGTGCTCACTGCACTAATACTGCAGCTCCTGTTGCTTAAAACTGACTTGAAGAAACAGTTCAGGCTCCTGCCTTCACAAAGGGCAAATTACAAATGTTAACTCTTTCTTTGTTTATTCACAATATATTTCTTTAGGATTGATTTCACTTAGGTCCAAAAGGAAAACTCTAAGAAAAACCACCACAAGTGTTTAATTAAAGCTCAGCACATTTCTTTCCTTTTATTTATCCCTTCTCACTCTGTATTTATTCCCACATTATCCATTATATAGTCATTTCTAGAGGGTTTCTTGACCTCAGGGTTTGTTCAGAGAATAATTCTCAGGCTTGCTTGGAGTCTAGACTCATTACCATGACTTCAAGCTTGTTCATTGTATGTAGGTTCTTCTGTGATTCAAATGCAACCTGAAATTTAATACGTGTTTTGCAAATAAGGTCCTGGGAGAGAGGGCAGGGGAGTTCACTTCTCACCAAAGACTAGATTGCCAGTCTAAGGAGCACAGATTGGTTTCAGGAACCTATATCACTTTCTTTGCTTTATGGCTAGTTGAAAATGCAGCTTTTATTCTGCTGTCAGTTATGGTCACAGAACAAAAGAGGTATAAACCATTAGAAATAAATTAGAAATTTCTGTTTAAAGAAATCTGCTGAATTTATTATGTAATTCTTCTCTCCTTGCTTTCTTGTAATGCTTCTTCTCTTCTATAAAAGGAAAGACCAATTGGATGGTACTGCCAGGTATGTAGCTGTCATTATTATAGCCTTATTTTAATGCGGTTATTGAAGAATGCAGGTTAAATGATTCTTTGTGCATTCGTGAGCTGTTAACCAAAACATGCTACTAATACCACAGGTAGTCATTAAAAATGATTAACCAATCCATTTCCTAATTGCTTGCTTTTTTCCCAATTTAACAACACAACTACAATGCTAATCGTACAAATGCAGTGTTGCTTGCTGATTGTATGTAAACAGCTTTATTGTTTGTTATGATTAATCATGGTCTAGGTTTCTTCTGACCCATGCCATAGAGCCAGAGTTTAGAATCCAGGTTGTTCTGGGGTGAATTTAAAGTTCTGCTTCATGTTATTGCTCAACAGTCCTCCACAGAGCAATGTTGCAGTGTAAGGGATGAACTTTGTGTCGATTCACCATGTGCAAAGATTTCTTAATAATAAATGCTAAGATGGATGGCTAAGATGGATCAGCAGGATAGTCAGTCTCTCTGGCAGTACTAAAAAAGCTATATTAGGTTTGAGGCCTTGGTCCCAGCCCTGCTGAAACAGATGGGCAAGCTCCCAGTCACTTTCGGGAATTTACAAGCAAAGAGAATGAAGGAATCATCTATCCTAGTACTGGTCAGTCACTGAAGACTACAACAGAGCAGCTGTTGTCAATCAACCTGCAAGGTCTCAGAAGGAAATGATGTGTTTATAACCCCCTCCAGCTAAGTTGCAGATTGAAAAATGCCTAAAATACTTCAACCTCTTAGGTTGAAAATGTGAAATACTTAATGCTGAACTGCTGTCAATGGATCACCCACAATGAAAGTCAATAGCAATTAAAGGATAAATAGTTCCACAGACTCATGCTGAAGCTATTTCCATTTGCATCCCCATTTACAGCACAGAGAAAAAGAGCAAAAATTGTAACAAAATTTGAAAATTGTTAGTCAGAAGTCAGGCCTGGGCTCTAGTCCCTGGCCTGATGAAAAGTTATCTTTTTCTTTTTTTTTTTTTAAACATTTCGTGCAAAACATGACAGCTTAAATAAAGAAAGCTTAAAAAACCAGATACACATTTGCTGTTCTCCTATGAATTTTTGGGGTTCAAACCTCCTTTAACAGAAAAGAAAAACCTATTGCAAGTTTTCTTACGATGCAGGCAAGTACTGTATTGCTGAATTATTGGGAAATGATTACTTCCCTCTCCTGCCACCACCATCATGAGCTAACCTTCAAAGACTGCCTGGATGGGAGTTACCTAGTCCATGAACCCTCATGAACCTGAAGTACTATACATCCATGGAGCTGCCCAGGCTAAGCAGTCATGAGCAAACTCAGTTGCACTAATCTACTAATGTAGATGTCTGGAGATTTTAGCTATCTCTAAGGTTGGCAGCAGCTGAATTTTGGCCTTTAATATGTAGGAGACAGCTTAGGAGTTGAAATCCTTTTGAGTATGTAACTCCATACCTTGAGCCAAACCATGTTCTGACTCAGATGCAGCAGCAGATTAAAATTAAGAAAGTGAATGATTGCTGCAGTTTGCTGGCGGTCACAGCCCCCCTAGAGAAACTCCTGCACCTGCAGCGACAGAACAGTTCGTGAAGTAGCTTCTGAGTTACTGTATCTTTCAGGCCAGCAGAAGAAGTCATTCTCTGTTGAAGCACTGGATTAAAAACTTAGAAGTATGACTCACAGCTCAAAATCTTTAAAACCGTAATCCCAAGGCCCCTCATTCTAGCTGGATATATCTTGCTTTTATGTTGTTACATATGTAATAACCTTCAGCAAAATGATCAGTAAACCTGCATTGGAGCCTTCCTGTCAGC